TCTCGTTTCTACTCTCCTTTCGCAAGCGGCACGCTCGTTCCATCTTTAGGCCACGGATTACAATGCATGAGTTTGCCTATCGCAGGTCGGCTCGCGTGGTTCTCTCGTTTTACTTGGCGACCTTTTGGTTTGCACAGCGGTCGAGGCTGAGCTGGGGGTCGCGCTCCCTCCTCCTCCACGGCAAGTGTTGACAGACACCATGCCTTGCCGCAATTTCGCCAGAGGGCCCGAGGAGGCCAACAGCATTGATTTTCAGGCAGATTTAGACAGGTTGTGGCGTTCTCGCTTTTCCGCGTGCTCGTCGGTGCAGAGTGGCCCAGACGGCCTCCGAGATAGACGACCTGAGAGGGCCCGTCGACGGCCCGAGGCGGCCTCAAAGCGGCTCCACGGCGGCCGGAAGAGACCGTCCGGACGGCGAGGAGGGCCCCAAGAGGGCCCAAGAGGAGCCCAAAGGGGCCCCCAAGAGTGGTCCGCAGAAGCCCAGCGCAACCCCGGGACGGCCGTCCTGTCTCCAGGCGATCGGCATCTGCAGATGAACATATAAAATAGGCGTTCTTCCGACGAGGAAGGGGCATCTATCTGGACATACGGTATTCATATTTCCAGCAGGGGGATCGGCATCTCGATTGGCAAAATACAGGCATCATCCCAGCCAGGGCATAGGCATCTCGATCGGCACATGAAAGAACTCAATAGGAGCGCCCTGACAGTTGAATTGAGTTGGCAAGCTGCACAAAAGGAATCAATTGGAACAGCGTCTGTAGGAATCATATGTGTTCATCTAGACAAGCATATTGTAGGCATCCCCCCACCGTGGGGATCCGCATCTGTACAGGCATCTCTCCACCGGGGGGAATGGGCATCCACATAGGCATCTGATGGGCATCTTTGCTTCGGGTGGCTAAGTATCCATACGAGCATATGCTCGGCATTGTCACAAAGGGAAATCGGCATCTAGATTGGCATCTCGTATCCCTGGCCAGGACATCCAAACCTACTCTCTTATCCTTATATTCCCTCTCTTTCTCCCTCTATCCCCTTCCTCTCCCTCCTTTCTCCTTTCCCTTGCCTCCGTAGTCGCCAATCGGGGTTCAGACAGGATTCGGGCGGTACAGACTGACACGCACGGATTAGCCTTTCAGGTCGAACTTTTTGCTGCAGCTGGTGGCCATCATGGCCGTTGGCGAGTGTTGCAATACGAATATCCCCACATGTTTTCGGATGATGGGGGCAGCAGCACCGACGCCGACATCTTGCCCGCACAAGTGGCGATGAGGACGCCTCAGCCCATCTCTGGCCTTTCGCAGCGACCTTCAAAAGGACAGCAGCCTGTCCTGCAATAACCTCGACATCATGGCACTGCAAGGTACGGGCTTGCGTGGGGACTTGCGGCTTCAAAAACGCAAGCTGGGTTTTGGCTGGCATGTCAAAGGAGAGTGCGGAACTCAGTTTGCACATGTTCTGGATTTGCGCTTCTCTGGCAAGACACCGCCAGGCAGACATATTTCAATTCGGATGGGTCGTTAGGTCGATGACATCGTATTGTTTTGCTTTTGCTGTTCGCCGCGTGTTCATTCCAATGCGGGCGGCCCCATGCATAATCGTTGTATGCTTTGCTCTTGGCCAGGCGGGCGGGGGATCCCCGAAGCGCGGTGCCGGGCGCCAGCCCTGCTTGGCCGCCTGCAGGCGGCCCCGCCATCTGAACAGACCCAGATGGCCATCTACGGCGCGCCGCGCAGCGGGGCGCCGCGGGCGCATGCTGGGGCCTTCGGGGTGGGGGGGGGGAGGGGGCGCGCGAACATTTGCAGACGCGTCGCACAACCGCCGGCGGGTGCCCATTCCGCCTCGCGGCGTCGAGCCTCGCCAGGGCGCCCTGGCGGCGCGCGCGAGCGGGCGGCCAGAGGCGGGACATGCGCGCCGAATCCGACATGTGGAAGTTCTGGTGCAATCGTACCGTTGGCGTCGAGGCACCAGACGAGGGCAGTGCGCTGGGGGACTCGACGAAGCGTAGACTCACATGTGTGCCAAAACGTGTCTTGTGCTAGTCGGTGTTCCTGGAGTTGGCGGACGCGGTCGGCGCCAGCTGGTTGATAGGGAGGGGTGTTGGTCTGAGCATAGCCGTTCAGGATGTAGAGGTCACGCTCGTGGCGTCCGTCTCTGCGGATTCGGAGCCCAAGAAGTCGCCCAGGGGGCCATTCATGTACGCAGCGCACCTCAAGCGGGTTGAAGTGGTATGGGTTGAGAGCGGTCAAACATCCATCCTTTGCCGTCCGCCTGCTTCCGCCGCGCTAACGGAGCTGTCGACGACAGGAATCTGCCGAATTTGTTTCTCCCTCTGCCTCTTGCATGTCCTCCTCCTCCTCCTCCTCCTCCTCCTCCTCCTCCTCCTCCTCCTCCTCCTCCTCCTCCTCCTCCTCCTCCTCCTCCTCCCCCTCCCCCTCCCCCTCCCCCTCCTCCTCCTCCTCCTCCTCCTCCTCCTCACCTACCCTTCCTGTGCCCCGGTCCCTTGCCGCCCGCCCGCTTCCGCGCCGACGGAGCCCTCGACGGCGGGAGCGGCGGACACGATCGCGGAGGCAGGGATGGAGAAAGAGAGTCGATCGGGGGGGACGGGGGAACAGGGGGGCATGGGGCGGAAGAGCAGGATAAGGATTTGACCGTATGGTATGAACACTGAAGAGCGGTCGACGAGACATGTGCCGTTATCTTACTCATGGCACTAGTTTTGATCGCATGCGTCTGATGATATTCTGCAGGTGCGCTTCCCCTCCCCCCTTTACCCTCCGCTTCCTTCCCCCTCCCACCTACTTTTTTAATCTCTGGCATCAAGACACTTTTTACTCCAAGTATGGTCTTCAAAATCGTTGGACACAACGAAGAACAGTAAACATACAGATTATGGGACTCGGGGGCAACGCTTGCGCAGTGACCGCGCTCTGGCAGAGACCTATTGCGACGCCTTCTGCGGGGCAATGCGCGCAGAAGCACTACCTGAAGATTTGGATGGGCATGCCGATCGCATCAACATTGCGAAGCAGAGCGCCTCCGGAGTGGCAAATGACCACAAGAAGCAATCGCACCGGCCATGGATATCGCAACGCACATTGGACTTATTAGCTGAGCGAGACTCGGCGCGCCCAGCGGGACACACAGAAGAAGAAAAGAGATTGGGAAAAATGATCCGAAGTTCAATCCAGAAAGATAAACGCAGATGGTTGGACGAACAATTGCAGAATGGACCATGGCATGCTGTCCGGCAGCTTAGGAAAGGCGCCGCCAAACGACCAAATCAAATCAAAGACCCTGAAGGTAATTTGGTGGACAGCAACAAACGCGGTGACGCATTGGCAGACTATTTCGAGCACTCGCAGTGGAAAAGTGGAAAATCACGAACCCGAATGCCGGCCCTACTTCCAAAACTACTTTGGGTAACGATCCGCCGGTCAAAACAAGCGCATTCACAATGGAGGAGCTCATTGGTGCATTGACACACCTTTCAGCTGGGAAAGCCGCAGGCACAGACGAAATACCGCCAGAATTTTGGAAGTATTTATTGCAAGATTGGGAAGCATGGGATCAATTGCTGAGTTTATGCCATACGTGTTGGGACCAAAACGAATTACCAACATATTGGAAGACAGCTTGTGTTACGCTTTTAGACAAAAAGGGGGACGTAAGCCTGCCAGAGAATTATCGGCCAATAGCTTTACTGCCCGTGGGGTACAAAGTGGTGGCGTCGATGATCCAAAGAAGACTTCAAAAGGGGGGCGCCGAGGAGCGGATGCGAAAAACGCAGTTTGGCTTCAGGCCGGGCCGAAACACTATTCAAGCTATCTCCATCGTGCGCAGAATGGTAGACGCAGCCTGCGCGAGTTCCTCGGCAGGGTTCGTTGGTATCTTCTTGGACTGGGCAAAAGCAGTTGACATAATCAAACACGATACGCTGATTGTGGCGCTGCGGCGATTCGGAATCCCCGGCAGGATTGTTCAGTTCATTGCCGGGATATACAACCAGCGGTCTTTCTTGCTAAAAGTCAAGGCGGGGGATTCGCCGATTCGGTGCCAGAAAGCAAGTATTGCTCAGGGCTGTCCACTTTCTCCCTATCTGTTCATCAATGTGCAGTCTGTCATGTTCTACGACATCGACCAGCAGATGGAAGCAGCAAGCCTGGACACCCAAGAGCCGCAGTTTATGGTTACAACAGATCTGTTATACGCTGATGATACAATGCTCGCCAGCAGCGACACAAACAAGGTGCAGTTATTATTGGGCACGGTTATCACAGAGGGGTCGTTTTATGGGTTGGAGCTCAACTGGGACAAAACAGTTGCCCTCCGCATCAAGCACAATGGCGTTGTTTTCGCGCCGTCTGGGAGCCCTGTGAAAACAGTGGAGCAGACAATAGATCTCGGAGGGCTTATCACAGCAAATGGGACAGCTCAGCCTGAAGTTTCCCGGCGGCTAGGGGAAGCAAAAGGTATTTTTAAGGCTATGCAGCGCTGCTGGCCGCACGCCCATATTCCCAGACATAGGAAGATCGAGCTGTACAGCGCAATTGTGATCCCCAAACTGTTGTACAACATCGATTCTATATGGTTGTTGCAGGCGGACAGGCGCCGATTGGACGGCTTCCATGCTCGGTGCCTTCGTATAATCTTATCGATGCCCTGTTCTTTCGTCTCGAGAATATCGAACAAAGAGGTTTTTGAGAAGGCAGGACACTTGCCTTTAAGTGAGATTTGGGCTGACAAGCAAAAGAAGTTACACAACGCCATTGCAGCTCTCCCACACGACAGCTTGCTGAGGGCTCTAACCTGCGAGCCGGGGTCCCCTGAGCCACGAAGGTGGGTTGCAAAGCGTAGGCGCGGGAGGCCGAAACAGCAATGGACAGAGCGCGTATACATATTGTTGGATAAGTAATGCTTTACAACATACAATTTGCCGCATGTTTGATCTATCATCGTCGTCATCTTCTTCATCGCACGTTTGATCCATGCAGGTGTCACATGTTTGATTCGTCATCTTGGCTCGGCGTTTGGCCGTGGCCTCTCGCTCTCGGCGTTTGGCCGAGCCTTCTCGCCCTCGGCGTTTGGTCGAGCCCTTTCGCCTTCGGCGTTTGGTCGAACCCTTGTGCCCTCGGCGTTTGGTCGTGCACTCTCGCCCTGCTGATGCGCCGTGCAGGCGCCTGGCACACCTGAACTTCCTCCTTCTGCTCCTCCTCCGTCCCTGCTCGTTCTCCCCCCCGTGCCCCTCCCGCTGGTCCGCATGCTCTTGTTCCCCTGCCGCGCAGGAGGATGCGGGGAGGATGCGAAATCGTGCGCCAGGGCGGCCATTCCCTCCTCCGAGGGCTGCGCTGATGAGTGGCCTCCATGGCGGTCTCCCTGCAGCGCACACAAGACTCGCGGCCCTGATTGCCGCGGGCGCCCCCCCCCCTTCCCCCCCTCCCTGGCTAACTCCAGCCCCCTTCTTCGAGGGGTCGCACTGGCACTCGAGGGAGGAGGAGGCGGAGGAGGAGGAGGACGAGGAACGGGAGGAGGAGGGAAATGAGGAGGAGGATGACGAGGACGAGGAGGAGGACGAGGACCATGAGGAGGAGGAGGGGGAGGAGGTGGAGGACAAGTGTCAACCCAAGACACATCAACGATGTTGCAATAAACCGTCTTTCGAGCTCATTGTCACAATTCCGCACAATAATTTAGGTGCGTTGCTGGAAATGTCCCGTTGGAAGACAACCGTCTTAATGTCATGAACCGTGCCAAAACACCATTCCTTGGATATCAACGCCGCGAATCAACGTTCTTGCCACGTGCTGACAATCCTGAACCGTGCCAGAACACCAGTCCTGGGACTTGAACAGCTGCATCGTGCCAAAACACACTGTGTGGGATGCAAGCCCTAAGAACACTAGGAAACTGCTGTAACCTCTTAAGACGAGTTTGCGCGGTGCTCAGGCGATAATGACATTCTGAAAAAGGAGCCCTCCATCGGTCAAGCTCTTGCAAGCTTATAAAGCGAATGTGCGCCGCGCTAAGGTGCTGACCGCATCTTAGAAACCGCCCGCCCTCCATTCGTGAAGTTATTGCGAACTTGCAAAACGGATGTGCGCGGCGCTGGGGCGAGAGCCACATTCAGAAAACCGCCTGCCCTCCATCCGTGGTGTTGTTGCAAATTCGACGCTCTCGGATCTCAGAGTGTGAGCAAGTCTCAAGCGAAACGCCCGGCCCGCCCTGCCGGCACGTCTCGGGGTGCGACAGGGAGAAGTTTTTGTCAGCGTGGCTAAAATTAGGGCCCTGTGGGAAACGGGGCCTGGACCCAGGGGCCTTCCCCCAGGACCAGGTCTTCATCCTGCGCGGTTTTCTGACAGTCCCGGGGCCAATGTTCGGGCCGAGGAAGTCCGAAAGGGACGAAAGCCCTCAAGACCCGTTTCCCTCAGGACCCGCTTTTTGCATGGTTAAGGGGTAGGAGCAGGAAGGAGGAGGAGGAGGAGGAGGAGGAGGAGGAGGAGGAGGAGGAGGAGGAGGAGGAGGAGGAGGAGGAGCGCGTGCTGGCCTGCACGTCTGCGGTTCGCCCCGGTTCGTCCCCGACCGAGCCTCAGGATCAGCGTCTTGCGCCGCCTGCGCTCCTCGCCTCGGCCCCCTCCCCCCCCTTGCGGCAGTCTTCCGGCGATGGGCAGCCACGCGCAGAGGGGGGAGGGGGGGGGGAGAGGGGCTTCTTTCTCACGCGCAGAGGGGGGAGGGGGGAGGGGAGAGGGTTTTTTTTTCTTTCCAGGCCTCCCAGGTGGGGTCGGAGCAGGTGGTGTCGGAAGAGCGCGCCACATCGCCGATGCATCGGGGACGCGGCTCGATGTGGAGCCCGATTTGCTTCACGTCGACGTCGCCGACGTCGACGATTCATCGCCAGTGCGTCGCCGATGCATCGGCGATACATCGCCGATGCGTCGGCGATATGGCGAGATCCTCCGACCCCATCTACCCGGACCCCATCTAGGAGGCCTCTATTCTTAGAAGCACGCCTGCTCCTCAGAAGGCGCGGGTTTTACAGTCAACCCGCATACTAAGGATGAGCGACTTTCCAAGGTTAATCTTGCATCCTCCCCCTTCGGCCCATTCTCGGCCGCTTTCGCTGGCCGCGCCCAGTTCGCAAAGTGTCGATATGGCCTTCTAAGGCCCTTGCATCCTTAGCGTGCGTCCTTATCATACGGGTTCACTGTATTTATAGATGTAAGAAGGCCGGCGCCTTCTGAGAAGCAGCTTTCTGAGAAGCCTTCCCCCCTGCCTCCACCCCCTTTGTGCGCGCTGTCAGTAGGGGTTCCCCATAATTCCGAATCATGGGGAACTCGAGGGGCTTCCCATAATTCCGAATCATGGGGAACCCCGTAATTCCGAATCGTTGACCAGCGTCTGTGGGTTTCCCGTAGTTTGCGGGCCTTCCCACCCGTTCTCATCGCTTGATTCCCTCCCTTGCTCCTGCTCCTGCTCCGCCCTCCTCCTGCTGGCCACAGTGCTCCTGTCTCGGAATGCGTGGACAGCACCTCATCAATTTGAGGGTTTCAGAAAACCCAGTGTACAGTGAGGGCTTCACAGTGTACAGTGTGTACAGTGAGGGTTTCAGAAAACCCAGTGTACAGTGAGGGCTTCACAAAACCACAGTGCACAGTGGGGGCTTCAAACACCCACTGTGCAATGTAGTTTTGAACTCCCAACTGTACAATGTGGGCTTGTAAGCCCCTATGGCGCACTGCACCTTTTGAACCCCCCGCTGTACACGTCGTGCCGCAGATCCCGCCGCTTGCGATCCCACGGCCTGCCAGTGCTTGGTGCATTGCATCCCGGGTTGAGACTTGGTGTGCCAGCTTGAGGCTTGATGATGAGTCAATTGCAGGCGCACTCTTGAACGTCATATGAGAGGCGCCTCAAGGCACCCCAGTTTCTCCGGCTACCCATACTGTGCTTATGCAGGCGCTTTGGTACGAGGGCTTGCTCATGTAGTTTCGGAGTCGATGCGATGATACGGTTGCTTGCGGTAAACCCTGAGACTGCGCTGGCGAAGCATCGAAGTCCAGGCAGGACGAGTCCTCCGAGTTCTCTCGAGCAGGCTTCTTGGAACCATCTTGGGGCTGATTGCGAGGCAGCGCTGTGAAGCTGTTGCGTGTTGCGGCTCTGATGTCGCACGGTTGGTGCGTTGGCTGTTGCGGGCTTTTCGCGAGCCTCATGGGGGGGTTTTGAGGTCTCAGTTGGAGCCCCATTTAGGGGGCCTCTGAGGGGCTCTGGGGTGCCTCTTAGGGATCTCAAAACTGTCTGGGGCGCGATCGAGCTCTCCCGAAGAAGCTGGGTTGACCAACTTGGGCCGCAGTTGAACCATCTCAGGGACGTCTGGGCTGGTCTCAGGGCCGACTTGGAACGATCTTGTGGCCCAGTGGTTCCATCTCTGGCCGTGCTGAGGACTTCTTGAGCCGAACGACCTCGGAAGCAAGCCACATCGGAATCCCTTTGGTATTTTGTTGTTCTCCCAAGCTCTTTCTGGAGGCCTCCCTGGGCGCCCCTTCAGGGCTTCTTCGGGCCGCTTTGAGCTTCTCGAGGCTTCTCGGGAACAGAGCTGGAGCTTTTGGGGATCATGTGTTTTTTCGTAGGCAGATGCGGGGGCCGTCTGGTCGGCCCTCGAGGCTGTCTTGGAGCTCTCTTTCTGCGGTCTTGGCTCGTATCATGGGGGCTGCCCTCTCCGCGCGCGGGTAAAGGGGGGAGGGTCGCCCCTCGAAAACTACAGAAACAGTACCATACATCTGAGATGCGCTCTATGTAACGCCCATCTGTACTGAGCCAGAGCAGGCTACATAAGGTGTCCGCGCCAGATTCGCGAGACTATGTCGGCCCATGCCTAGCGTGGCGCGAAGTGTTCCGCGCTTTGGCTCAGGAAGATGTGCCGGGGGCTGCGCCCACGCTTGCACGAAGCAATTTTCTCAGCCACCAGCCGAGCTGACCAGTGTCGCGTGGTGGTTGTGCTGATCCTTCTGATGAGCTCGAGCTTATATTGCAGAGTGCGGCGTTGTCCTTTTCTTCTGCTGAAGTCATTCCTGGAGTTCGGCGTTGCTCGGCTCCTGAGGCTCCGGTCCCGCTCTTCTCTTGTCGCTTTGCCTCTTGTCGTCTTGTCTCGTCGCTCTGTCGCCTCCCCTCTCGTTTCCTGTCCTCCCGCTTTGTCGTTTCTGCGCTTTGGGGTTGTCGTTGCGTCCCCCTCGGCCTCGTCTTCCTCCTCCTCTCCCTCGTTCCCTCGTCGCCCTCCAAAAAAAACGAAATCCGTCGTAACGCTCGGCGGGTGGAAAAAAAAAAAAACTACATCATACGGTGGGGGCGTTCGTTAAGGAACGTGTCCAGGAGGCTTCAGACCCTGGAGGGTTCCTTATCTGATGAGGGCGGCGGTGATATCCATGGCCAATCCACGATTGGCTTTCCACTGGCTTCCAGACCCTGGATTCCGTATCGAAGGTTCCCGTATCCAATGCGATCACCGTATGAATGCGCATTTGCATTTAGTCATGGTAGGCTTCTATCTAGTGGCATGAGGCCCAGCCCGCCACCGTACCTGGGTCGCGGACAGGAGGCCTACCGGATGCCTCTTGGGCGTCCTTTTGCGAGCATCGTTGGGCCTTCCATGTGGCGTCTACGGGGCCTCTTGGGAGCCTCTTGGGAGCCTCTTGGGAGCCTCTTTGGGCCTCTTGAGTGCCTTTGGGGGCACTGTGGGAACATCTTGGTGTCCTGCTGGCTGTCTCAGGGTGCATCATGCGGTGGAGGGTTCCAACTAGCAGTTCGAGGTTCTCTTGTTGGGCCTCTCCTGAATGTGTCTTTGGAGCTTTCTGGGTTACCCTTGGGGGGCCTCGGGGACCCTCTTGGGAGGGTCTGTGAGGCCTCTTGGGCACTCATAAGACCAGGTCGCCGAGTATGTGAAAGCAATGTGCACACGTACACCGTGTCAGTGATTATGTTATCTTGGTGTGGCCCCCCAGGCCTGCAAGACGGCCTAAGACCCCCCCTCCCGAGAACCATATGATGGTGTTTCAGAGCCATCTTATGACACGTGAGAAGTGTGAACCATCAACCGCACTCCCAGGGCTTCTTGAGAAGTCACGCGGGGAACCCCAAGAACGCCCATGAATTCTTCAAACTCAGGCTCAAGGACCTCAGGATCCTCCGCCTCGTGCTTCTGGGCGTGGTGGCAGATCAGGAGTGCCGAGACGTGCGCAGACACGTTGACAATGTTCAGATATATAGAGCCGTGCCGAGTTGCTCACGGGAGCGTTTCGACATCATCCGTGACGCTCCGGAAAGGCATCAAGCTCAAAGTTTACGCCTGCGCTGGAACGTGCCCAGAGTCGCGAGAGGCAGCAGCCGCTCGCTCTCTCTCTCTCTCTCTCTCTCTCGCTCTGGGAAGCATCCCCTGTCTCCGCGTTGCCATGGCAGTTGCCGTCGAGGCCAGGGTGGTGACCACTGGTCTCAGTCTTGGTCACCTTCATCGCCGATATCTTGAGCGCAACTCATGGTTCGCGTCGAAAGGTCGGCAATTCGCTTTGGGAGGTGCTGCCATCATCCGCGGCCACCACAAGCGCGAGTACCGTCGTCACGCTGAGCGCAGCCGTCTCCGTACCAGGCACCGCTAGCGAACCATTCTTGGCAGCCAGTTTGGCTCAACATCGCGGCTGGTAGTCACTTCGCGTAATCGTGCCCTTGGCCGCGCTGGCAGTCTTGAATCAGGCGGCGGTTGCAGAACTCCCCAAAGTAAACCCATTCTTGGCACAACACGTGGCATACTCTAGATTGACTATTCCGCACCAAAAAGTGGATCATGTTATATGCAATCACCCAAACAGTGTGTTCCTGGCAATCTATGTTGAGCATCCTTTGTGGAGCAATCCATGTGGTGCACTCTACGTGGTGCGATGTACGTCGTGCAATTCACTAATGCTCGCAGTGAGTTGTCAACTCTACTGCTTACACAACATCCCACCCACCCACCCGCAACTTGGTTTGCAAAGCCCATGCGGCGGCGATTGCGATGAGTGTTTTGCGTTGGCTGGTGCATCTCTGCGGCCGCGCTATCCCGCGCATGCCCGCGTGCGCAGCGGGCAGCTAGTTTTGCGCGACCGACGCGGCCGCGGTGGCGCTAACCGCTGGGCGCCTCCCAGCGAGCACTTCAGTGTGAGTCGGTGACTTGGGCGGGCGCGGTATCACGGCGACGCCGACAATGCTAGACACGCTTGTGAGAGTAGCAATGCTGGTGACGATGCTGGCGACGACGACGGCAAGGCCAATGACGGCGCCGATGTTGATCACGCCCGCCGATAACGATGACGATGATTTCGCGTCGGCGATGAAGGTTTTTGGAGGAGTTCGACCTGCGCGCGCGGCCGACGCGAACGAGTGGCGAGCGTCCTGCGTGGCATTATTTGAAACGGATCCTGCCCCTCCCACTTCGCGCGCAAGGGCGTTCGAAGGAGTTCGACATGTGGCGCGAGAGGCCCGTCTGGCAGAAGTGGGTGAACATGTTGAACAACATATGTTTCTTGTTATATCACCACCCACCAAACCACCCCAACCCAACCCGAAGGCCCAAATTTATCCTCGATTTCCAGCGGGGGGGGGGTCGGGGAACGTTGAAAAAACACGTGGTATCCGTACCCCCCCAACCCGAAATTCGGGTCAAATTCGGGTCTTCGGGTTGGGTTGGGGTGGTCTGGTAGGTAGTCATTATAAAACTCGCAAGGCAGCGAGCGCAGTTTTTTGTGTGCAAGCCGATATTGCAAACACAAACATGTGTGTTGATATGTTTTCGGGGCAATCGTTGTTATATCTCCTGGAGACTTAGGTTTTTTCCCCAACCATCCTGTGGTGTTGGGTCCTCGTTTTGAAGAGACAGCGCCCCGCTTCCCATTCCTTCCTCCTCCCGCTGCCTCCTCCCCCTCCTCCTCCCTCCTCCCATCATCGTCATCGCCCCGCACACCCATTTCGGCACACCCCTCACACGCTTCGTGGCCCCATAGGGAGCTCCACCGAAGGTCCCAGTGGGTGTGCCCGCATGCGTCCCGCACACAAATTTCGGCACACCCCTCACACGTTTCGTGGCCCCATAGGGAGCTCCGCCGAAGGTCCCAGTGGGTGTGCCCGCATGTGTCCCGCACGCCCACTTCGGCACACCCCTCACATGTTTCGTGGCCCCACAGGGAGCTCCACCGAAGGTCCCAGAGGGTGTGCGCGCATGCGTCCCGCACACCCATTTCGGCACACCCCTCACACGCTTCGTGGCCCCATAGGGAACTCACACAGTGGCCCCATAGGGAGCTCCACCGAAGGTCCCAGTGGGTGTCCCGCATGCGTCCCGCACACCCATTTCGGCACACCCCTCACACGTTTCGTGGCCCCATAGGGAGCTCCACCGAAGGTCCCAGTGGGTGTGCCCGCATGCGTCCCGCACACCCATTTCGGCACACCCCTCACACGTTTCGTGGCCCCATAGGGAGCTCCACCGAAGGTCCCAGTGGGTGTGCCCGCATGCGTCCCGCACACCCATTTCGGCACACCCCTCACACGTTTCGTGGCCCCACAAGGGAGCTCCACCGAAGGTCCCGGTGTGCCCGCATGCGTCCCGCACACCCATTTCGGCACACCCCTCACACGTTTCGTGGCCCCATAGGGAGCTCCACCGAAGGACCCAGTGGGTGTGCCCGCATGCGTCCCGCACACCCATTTCGGCACACCCCTCACACGTTTCGTGCCCCATAGGGAGCTCCACCGAAGGTCCCACTGGGTGTGCCCGCATGCGTCCCGCTCACAAATTTCGGC